TCAAGGCACTACTAAATTCCTCCCTGTGTTCTTTCACACACTCAACAGCACTACAAAGACTAATAAGTGTTGATCTCAAGAGAAACAAGCAAATGACAAAGCACAGCATTTGCTCTGTTGTGATTTGTGGTGTTATATTTTCTCCAGACAGTGGACTGCTCATTTGTCTCTATTATGAAAATGGGACCTACTTCTTCGTGTCAATCACAGGCTGTGATGCAGACGAGGTGTTACAGCCGCAGTTCCTACCAGTTTATAATAAAGGTAAACAAACCACTTCATCCCGGAAACAAACGTGAAAGAATTTGGATTTGTCAACATAAACAGGTGGGATAATGACAAGATGGATAATGGAACTAAAGTGTCTTGAAGGGGAATTTATTTTCTGATGCTCTGGTAGAGGATCTTTGGAGGCAACACTCTGCTAATACGTACGGGGGCTGGAGCCTATCCTAGCTGACCTTGGGCGAGAGGCAGAGTACACCCTGGACAGGTCACCAGACTATCACAGGGCTGACACATAGAGACAGACAACCATTCACACTCACATTCACACCTACGGGCAATTTAGAGTCACCAATTAAGCTGCATGTCTTTGGACTGTGGGAGGAAGCCGGAGTACCCGGAGAAAACCCATGCTGACATGGGGAGAACATGCAAACTCCCTACCCTGAGTTCGAACCAGCTCGGCTCTGTTGTCATGAATGTTTTGTACACAAACCAACTAGCCATCAAGGCTGAGGAGTAGAGATGCATGTCCAAAAGAAGAAGAAACACACCTACTTAAAGTCTTATGAAAGACTTGGATATCAGCAGGTTTTTGGATATGCGCAAATATCGCAACACTGACCTTTTCAAGAGGGTGGCTGAAGGAATGAAAGAGGGAGGCTGTGTTCGTACAGTTGAGCAAGTCCACCGTGGAAAACTTTGAAAAAAAAAAAATCCTGTTTTGATGCAAAGCAAAATGGCACAAGCTGCTCCAGTCGTTTCACTTTCCCATATTTTGAGTTGATTTAAGTGAAGTTAGGGCTCTTTAAACAGAGTATGCACGGCTCATTTTCAATAGCCACGTAAACATTGTCTTTTTCGGAATAAGGGCAAACACTGGAATATTTTGTGCATGCAAATGTAGTCACTGTTTCCAAATCTACAACCTATACTGGACCACTCACTACTGTTAACACACTCAGGGGACTGACCACCTCACGCTGTTTCCCGGTGAGAATGACGTGTGTGAGTGAGAGTGTGGGGGGACACTGGGAGGGGTCTGGTTCCAGATGTAAGTGGTACTCTTCAGACAAGAAGAGGCCCGGGCTAGCAAAGAACAGGAAACGGATAACTGACTTCAGGGGTCCTGACTCAGTGTGTGTGTGTATGTGTGTGAGAAACAGAGTATAGGATCTGTGTGTCAGGCAGGTCACAGCACAGTCACGGTAACTTACCTTTGTATGGGAATGTGAGTCATGCCTATACAGTATAACTCAAGTGAGTCACCATGAGACCCTTAGTGAGTCAAAGCCTGCTCATCAATATGTTTATGGCCAAACTGCAATATTTCAAGACTCTGTCTCCTCACAGTTTAACAGAACAAAGAGACGAGGACGACACAACCCAAACAAAGACCATGTGTGTGTTTGTGATGCATTATTTATGTGGGGGAATCCTATGTATTATATATGCTGGGATGAGATACGGTAATGTAGGGTGACCTCTGTTTGACAGGGGCAGTGCCTTTATGTATAATGAATGAGTGTGTGTAATAAATTATGAGATAAGGGAGAGTAATCCGGCATGGTGGTACTTCATGTTGACTGGGTGGAGAGCAGCAGGGAGAAAGGGAACAGCAGCCATAGCCTGCCCTCTAGTGGTAAAGATAATTAGGTTGGAGCTGCAGCAGGCACCAGACCACAGCCTCAAAATCACCATGTAAATGATTCAATGAATGCTGACAATGTCATAAGACGTCGCTCTAGGCTCAGGGAATTTGTGAGGGGCATATTTCACTATCTTTGGGCGTTTTAATAGAATAAACAATTAGTTTTATTGGATAAATATTCAACAGATTAGTTGATGCTGAGAATAAGTGTTTGTTGCAGCCGTATAATCAACTTCTCTTTAAAACAAGGGAAGGATTCTTTAAAGGAATATTGTTTTGGATTACATTGCACACAATATTCCCTGTTACTTGAACCATAATCTAATGCATCTTTAAAAGTTATAAGGACATCATGATACATTTGTTTCAATATCTTAAAGGGACAGTTCACTACAAAATCAAAAATGCATATTTTCCCTAGTAATTGTAGTGCTATGTATCAGTCTAGATAGTTTTGATGTGAGGTGTAGAGTGTTGGAGATATCAGCCGTAGAGATGTCTGCCTTCTCTTAAATATAATGGAACTAGATGGCACTGAGCTTGTGGTGCTGAAAGCGGCAATAAAATACATTTGAAAAACTGGACAGCAATGTCTCTTTCCAGAAAACATGACCCAGTTACTCAAGATAATCCACAGACCTTGTTGTGAGCAGTTTGGTGTAAAGACGCAGAAGGAAGTGTGCATCTACTGCTAGCTCACCTAGCCTTACTGGGCTAGCTAAAGTTACAACTCAGCTGAGGAGGACTTCTTTAATGTTTACATCTGGGGCTGTCACAAACCCAAGCCTCTCGTCCATGAGTAGATACACTTTTCCTTCTACGTGGTGATACATTTCGCAGGTGTAGTTCTGTAGAGAGAAAATAGTCCCTATATAAATCTGCTCACAACAAAGTCTGTGGATGATCTTGAGTAACTGGGTCATAATTTCTGTGTTGCTCAAAGCACCAAAAAGAACATTTGAAAAACTGCATCCAAACACCAAACAGTGATCTATCTTTCCAGAAAACATGACCTGGTTACTCATGAGTAGACGCACGCTTCCTCCTCTGCGATGATACAGTTGGCAGATGTAGTTCAGTGGAAAGAAAACAGTTCCTACATGAAACTGCTCACAACAAGGTCTGTGGATTATCTTGAGTAACAAGGTCATGGTTTCTGAAAAGAGATGTTGTGCTGAGTTTTACAAATGTATTTTATGGCCGCTTTGAGCACCACAAGCTGAGTGCCATCTAGTTTCATTATATTGGAGAGAAGGCAGACATCTCTACAGCTGATATCTCAAACACTCAAAAACTCACACAAAAACAATCGACTGATAAATGGCACTAGAGGTGAGAGGGATTTGGGGTGAACTGTCCCTTTAATTATATAGATTACAATTTGCTCTGTAGCAGAAAGAGACAAACACATGAGCACAGCTGCATTTCCTTTTTTCCTTTGTTTGTAAGTTTATTGTTTTGGTCTATCATCAGTCTTTCTCAGTCTTTCTCCTTTGGCTCGCCAACAAATGTTGCCTTTTGTTTCGCCTCCTCACACAAAGCTCAGCATAAACCTGTATAACCACTAATTGAGGGCCATGACCAGATACACAATAACACTACAGGGACCTGAACTGTGTTGCAATTGATTTCCTGGTGACTAGGGGTGCATTTTTGTGGTTACCATGGAGATGTCAAGCTGTGGCCAGAAGTAGAGGAATTTTTCTTACTTTGGTTGGACGAGCTAGCCAGCTTTACACACACACACACACACACACACACACACACACACACACACACACACATGCACACACAGACTCTCCCAGAATCCTAGTTTACAGTGAGATAATGTGTTTTTCTTCGCTGTACTTAGAGTTGGTCAGTGAAACATGAAGCTGTGTGAGTCAAAATTGTTGTGTCATATCTCCTCATGCAAGTTCTCCAAGACTAACCAAGGAAGTACAAGGAACACAGCTGAAGTCATTCTTCAACAGACTCTGTGTATCCATGTGAAAATCACTTAACGTAATTCTTCTCCATTGGTCATCAAGTCACAAGGTGATGTGTTGTCTTAGTGAGACAGATTGACGGAAACTCTGTCAGCGTGCTATGACCTGTCCGTCTGATTCATGAGTCAAAGAAAATCAGTGTTCACAAAGGCACATTACACAATCAATAACGCCTAGACAGACACCCAAACACTTTCACATTAACATGACTGGGATATTCCTCTGTAGTCCATTTTACAGCAGACGACAAATGAAGGTTAGAGACTCTTTTCCTTCAAACTGCTCAGTCTTTGCCTCGTGGAGACAGCCAGCTTTGTGTGTGTGTGAACTGAACAGACAGGTGTGTATGTGTGATGTCAAAAACAATACATTAGAAGATGTTCCAATTATAGGAGACTATGACGTTTCAAAGACTTCCACCACCTGTGTAACAACCACTACACAACACAACAAACATGCCGAAGCTAAAATAGCTCACGTTGTTTTCCAAAGTGATCTCAACATGAAACCTTTTGATCCAAGGAATCGATGGCTGGTTTTAAACAAAGCTCATTCTGCACTCGACAGCTCTGACTGATTCCACATTGGCTCAGCAGGAAGAGCTAGCATTTTTTCAAAGACATCTGCATTCTAGCTCTGCCAGGGGGCTCCGGTGAGCCAACGCTGCAAGGGGTCCTCCACATGGAAGCCTGTTGGCACAGCCAGCAGGCTCGCAGCTGAATTTGACAGGATGATCTCTGCAAGGGGGCTCGATGATTGTGACATCATACCCTGACTCTGCCAGAGGGCTATTCTCTGACTATGGCAGAGCCAGCTGCACCAGGGGGGCTACAGCTGCCAGTGTCAAGGCAGACACTGTGAGGGGGGCTTGTTGATGCATTACAGAGGAGCTGATCAAGGCTTTGTTGTGCTGGTAAACCACTAGAAACAGGCCTGACTGCAGCTGTGGGGTTGTAACAGTTGGCAGGTGGAAGGATTCACCTCACAAGCAACGCTAAGATCATTAATGAGACACAAGTGTCCTAGTTCCTGCAGGCTGCGGCACCATGAGGTCATTAAATATTCTTTACGCTACTCAGGTTAATGAAGCAGGAGTAAAAACTAATCATTTTCAAATAAAAGATAACACAACGTACCCATTCCCCAGATCGTCGATATCATCATCATCTTCATCATCCTCGATCGGGCTCTTTCTGCTGAGGTCGCTGTTGCTGAGGTAATCTCCCTTCAGAAGGGATGGGTCCGAGTCGTCCAGCGCCTCGATGAGTTGGATACGAGCCGTGTGGCTGATCCGGAGTGGGACGTCCGACTGGGTGTTACCTGTGGACGGAGCTTCGCCAGCCTGCAGACGGGGGCTGGCCTGACCCTGGCGCCATGACAACGGAGAGGAGCGATTTGACAGGCTGGAAATTGAGAACGCAGCGGCTTCATCGCTGTCGTAGCACACGTTCCCCTCCACACAGCTATGGAATGAAAGGGAGGATACATTTTAGGGTTTCTTGAAAAATATCACAGCAATGAGCTCCCCTAAAGAGCTGAAAAGGTCAGGTACAGTTTAAACACACAGGAATTAAGTGTCTATATTCCATTTCCTCTTTTTTGAAGGACCTGCTTCCTCCATCCAGACATCTTTCCTCTTGTCCCCACCCTGCATCCTCTTCTCTCAAAAGGACCTCGGGCTAAGGGATTATGCTGCGTTCACATGGAATTGGGCAGAAGGTAAACCGGGTATCATTTAAATGGACTAGAGCAGGACAGTAAAATAAGGTCAAGCCGGCACGAGGCGGGGTACACCCTGGACAGGTCACCAGACTATCACAGGGCCGACACATAGAGACAGACAACCATTCACGCTCACGTTCACACCTACAGGCAATTTAGAGTCACCAATTAACCTGAATGTCTTTGGACTGTGGGAGGAAGCCGGAGTACCCGGAGAAAACCCACACTGACACAGCAAACTCCACAGCAGTCATGTATGTATAGCAACATGGCATCACTATCGCATCATATCATCATGCCATTCAGTCGAACTGTTTGTTTTTTCAATGCTGTCCAGAGGGTGTTGTCCATCTGCTATTCCATGTGAACACAGCACTCGTTGGGTTCCAGGTGTCTGTGTATGAGTGCAGTGTGCTCCGTTGTATATTTGTATACATGCATAAGTAATATGTGTATTCATGTCATTTTTCTGTCAGCAAACGCCTTTATGTTCCTCTGCGCCCTGCTGCTTTATTCCGGTGCACATTTGTGTGAGTCTCTCTACAAATACCAGCCTCACTAATGTCATAATATCATGCATCCCCTGTGCTAAAGCAGCACATCACCGCTCAGTGCTTAGGGTGAGAATGATGTGCATTAGCATATTAGAAGTTCCTGGCTCTCAAACTGTGCGACAGTACGCTACATTAAAATTAATCTTGTCTGCAGGATACAGAATCATCTCCACAAAAACCATCAATGGAGACATTTTCAAATGACACGCTGAACCACTAACATCAAACTGGCAGGAAAGACGTGGAGAGAGGATGAGAGTGAGGATGCTCCCTGTCTTGTTAGAAATGGATTTTCACAGGCTTTCTGCTTGTTATGCAAACAGTATATATCAGGAGAAGTATGTGTAGACAAAACAGTTCACTTGCTCACCAACCCGTTTGTTTAATTCATGCAAATCTCACACTCTAAACACTCGTTTTTCACAGGAAATATGACATCTTGTTTGCACAGGAAACTTCCGCCGACAGGCTGGAGGCCTCAAAGCAGAATGTCTTTAGGGACAGCGGGGAGTGATTCAAGGTTATTACAGTACCATAAAAGTATGAATGGCAAAGGAAATGTATTCCAGCAGGGAACCATCTGCTGATTTGGTCTTCATGGAGGGAGCTCCCACTGAGGGACGGAGAGAGGATACATGGCAGGAGACGCACGGACAGGCAGACAGAGGGGAAGCTCTCAAGGACAAAATCGGAAGGCGCGCTGAATCAGTCAATGAAAGACAGGAAGCGGAGGGAGGGCGAGGACACACGAACGCTCACATACACTTAATCACAGCATTATTGCGTGTCTTGTTGTGTGCATGAATAGGACTCGTGAGTGTGCATTGGCAGGGTCGGCTTTGAAGTCGGCTTTGAGCTAATCCTGCTTCAGTTCTGTATTAACAAACGCAGAGAGAGAGCAGAGCAGGCGGAAAATGACAGACTAATGACAACTGGTCTATCAGGAATACTGATATTGATCTGAGAGCCCACAGGCAGTTAACCACCACACCCCAGCACACTGTTAGCAATGTCAATAAGAATCTGCCCATCTCAACTGCTGCTCTTTTTCACTTGTTTGTTTTCTTTGTCCTTTCTTTTTGTCTCTATCAAACAATACTATGTGGTCCTGTTTGTGTGTGTGTGTGTGTGTGTGTGTGTGTGTGTGTGGTGACTGACCTGTGGCTGAGCTGCACCCCTCTCAGGCTGGTCATGGTCTCCTCCAGGTTCTGTCGAAGGTCCAGAACATTTTGCACAGTCCTCTTCCTTTGGGACTCCGGGTCTGCAGGGGAGCATGCACATAAACACAAAGAGATATTTTTAGACATAAAATGCCATATTATGTTATAAGTGGATGACAAATGATGATGTTTCCTCTATTGGCTATTAAAAATATGCAGACTGACAATCATAACTGTTCAGTGGCCAAACCCTGAGACCAAAATCAAATCATCTAAGGCTGAAGCATAAATCTACTAAAGGGCCCAAGTTAAAAAACAAGTATCCTTAAGTATACCTAATTTAATTATACTTAGCTTGCTTCCATGAGCACATGATTAATGTGCTGGAAGTGTGCTATTTCTTATGCACTTACAATGTTTCTTAATGTACTAATGCTAAGTCATTAGTGCTCAAGACACACTGAATTACAATAAGTGTACTTAAGCTACAATTAAGTGTACTTAAGATGCACTTAAATTAAGTACACCTTTTATTAAGAATACTTTACTTTTAAAATATGTATTTTTTCTACTTTAAATATATCTCAACTAAGTTTTCAGACAAATGTTAATATACTTATAATATATCATAATATTTTATAATCAAATGTTTAAAAAATTAATCAAAATTTAATTCAAAAATAAAAAATGTGTTGACAATTTATCTTAATTATCATTTCTTTTAATATGTAATTACTTTCAAGAGCACTTAAAATATAATTTAAAGAAACTTCAAATATACACAAAGTTGGATTAAAGTATATTTTTAAGAAGTACAGCATTATGAGAAAAACTTGCCCTTAAAAATATTATAGTATAACTTAACAGTGTCTCAAAATAATACATCCAAGAAAGGCTGGGCGATACGGAGGAAATCAAATATCACAATATTTTTGGAACAAAAACACCTTGATATCGATATTGTGGGATTTTGCTTTCACAAAATATATACACAACAAGATTTTTGATAAATAATCATCAGTAATAAGTGGGTAAAGGCAAATAATAGAAAAGCTACAACAGTCCAATAGGATAAGGGAATTTAGAGCACTTTACTGTAATGCAGCCTTTAAAACCAGGAAAAGACAATGCTTATATTACGATATCTAGTCTCATATCACAATATCAATATGATATCAATATACTCTCCAGCCCAGTCAAGTACACTTGCTTTTATTTTAGTATTTCTTTAATAAATAAGACTTAATTATTCCCACGTCACAGAAATTCACATTATAGCAGCTCAAGAGTCAGAAGCAATAGAAGAAAACAAAAAATGATTGAGTGCCAAAATGCATAAAAAATATTACAAAAATACAAATTAGATTAAATAAAAATAAAATAATATAAAATCTGTATAAACCTTTCACTTACACAGATACGATATGTTCATGATTGATAGTTGCACATACTAAGTTCATTGTTTGTACATTGAAAATAGCACACTTTTAGTACATTGCTAATAAGCACATTAGGTATACTTAGATTAGGTCTAGTCCAGTTTACTCTTTTTTCCTGGGGCTAACAGGCGGAGATGAGGAGAAGATGAGGAAAAGACCCGACAGAGGTAATAGTGGCAGCGTATGCACAGTTGTTTTTCCAGATGGCAGTGGAGCAAACTAAATTAAATATGATACCAGTCAGACAGAAAAAACAACAGAGGAGACCTTTAAGACCAGACACGTCTCATACTCCGATAGTATCCAGCCAGTGCACAGTCACATCACCTGCCATCTGTCTGCTCTTTTCCTCCTCTCCAACCCACCCTCAGTCAGTCTTAGTGCCCGCTCGCTGCACTGTGCCCCGTTGCCCCTCGCCCAAAATAAACCAAAAGCCTTTCTCACCAGGGAACACATTGGCATTTGTCTCACCCCTTTCCAGTTTGCTATAATCTGCTCAGATTGGGCTATATGGATTCATGCTGGGCCATTCAGCCAGACTGCCGTTTCATGTTTGTGTGTGTGTGTGTGCGTGTATGCGTGTGTGTGTGTGTGTGTGTGTGTGTGTGTACAGGCAACTCCCCCTGGGGGTTGGAAAATTGGATGCAATAAAACAACCAAAGTGATTCAACCACTTAGTTCTACGGACACCCTGTATCCTCAGGAAACATGTTTCAGTTTACCTTCTTTATAAAACCATGTCAATCTGAGAGCCTAATCTGGAGTTCTGCTGCCGCTTTTGTTGCTACTATCATAAAATCTTATCAGCTGCAAGCTCACACCCACCTCATCACATGTATCCTCACATAAACTGTAAACTAATCAAAACACCTAAGCTGCATCACATGACCTTGACCTTTGCTCTCTCTCCTACTCTGGGTGTTTACGTATGATGTCAATGGGGGGATGGTGGTGAAAGAGTTATGGTGGTAAGATATGGGACAGTCTATTCATCCCTGAGGTTCAGCTCAATAGGCCATTAGAACTGGCCAGATGAGCACAGCAAGAGATTTGCTATAACCAAAGTGAAAGAGAGGGTATGACAAAAACATTAAAGTAAAGTGTGTTACAAAGTCGTTCTTGTCAAGAAAATACACTATATCTAATGCTCATCATTTTCTAGTTTATATATCGCTGATTTTTATCTGGACTTCCTGTTTCCACATTTAGAAATCTGCTTCAAAATGTGCAAGATGTAACTTTACACAAAAGTGACAGCAAGTAAACAGGGTTGAGCTGTTGTGGTCAACGAATTCAGTCCATTACTTCTCAACGACATTCATGATCCAATGAATCCCAATTATGTTTGGATCCATTCATACATTCCCTCTAGTTTCACTAGCACATTGACATTTTTGGCTTTTAGTGAAATATCTTGACAACTATTGGAAATCTTTCCAGGGAAATCTGGTACATCCATCCATTTTCATCCGCTTATCCGGGGCCGAGTTGTGGGGGCAACAGGCCGAGAAAAACACCCCAGACGTCCCTCTCCCCAGCAATGCTTTCCAGCTGCTCCTGGGGGACCCCATGGCGTTCCCAGGCCAGATGAGATATGTAATCCCTCCAGTGTTCTGAGTTTGCCCCAGGGCCTCCTACCAGTGGGACGTGCCTGAAACAACTCAAGCGAAAGGCGCCCAGGAGGCACCCTGATCAGATGCCCGAACCACCTCAATTGACCCCTTTCGACGCGAAGGAACAGCAGCTCTACTCCAAGCTTCCTCGGGATGTCCGAGCTCCTTACCCTATCTCTAAACTCATTTTGGCCACTTGTATCCGCAATCTCAGTCACTACCCAGAGCTCATGACCATAGGTGAGGGTTGGGACAGACATTCATAAAACCAGAGAGTGATTCCTAACGAAGCTCAGCGCAAGTTCAATCAGGAAGACTTTCTTTATGCTATATCCATTCACAATTCTTTCTCTATCCAACTCCCACCACTTCCACCAATCTGCTGACTATGGGTGTTCCCTGTCCTGGTTAGCCAATCAAACTTTCCAGCGATCTCCTTCAGCCATTCATGTTGTTGCTGCCAACTTTTTATTCCTCTTCACATCTAGATCTTCAGCTCCCTCTTCATCTCATCAACACCAGTGTCTAGACTCCATAGAGGGGGATCCCTAATCTACTACATCTTTACCATCCTCCTGGAATAGATGACATCACAATGCTACAGACTTCGCATTTCTCATACTTAATGTGCACATGGAAATAAATAGTCTTTTCTCTCAGAATGAGTTGCTCCTGATTGAAATGACTTTGGAGATTCCCTGACTTTTCTTCTAGCGCTGCCATGAGGTTCACATTTATGGTTTTGAATGATATGTGTCAACAACTTTTGGATAGTTTCTGTGTTTGAAAATGAGTTAACACCTTCATGTCCCACTCTGGATGAACTGTAACAACTCCCCTCACTTTCCTCATCATCCGGTCAAAAATTCAGTTTGTCCAATAGTTCACTTTATGACCTGCAAAACTAAAGGTGCGTTCCATTTGCACTGGAAAGTCAGAATTTCAGAGTTCCTAGTCAGAAATTTCAACTGGAATGCCCCCTGAAATCAGATTTCTGACTTAGAAACCAGAGGAACCTACCCAACCTCAAAATCCAAGTTGGCTGCTCTTTTCATCAGCAATAGCGCTTATATTTTTTGTGTCTCATTTAATCAGTCTTGCACACAGTTCTGTCCATCTTCTATCTGTAGACATGTTAATACAGTGTTTGGATGCACAACATACAGTGCAGTGGGTTGTTATCAACTGGTATTGCTAACAATGGCTAACCTGGCTAGAACTGGCATTGTTACGAACATCTTGGTTCTTGGTTTTCCCAGCTCCTACCTCTGACTTCCGAAGTAAATTGAACGCAGCATAATGACATTCCCATCAGCCTCATCTGTACTTCTTGTTTAGTGTTAATTAGAAAATGATAGCAAGCTAGCCCGTTAAGCTAAGATGGTGAGCAATGGTAAACATCACACGTGGACAACATTAGCATGACAGCAGTGCCATTGTGAGAGCATGTTAGCATGCTGTCATTAGCATTTAGCTCAAACCCCAGCTGTGTCTTAAAACAGCCTCACAGAGACTCTTAATCATTCAAAATAAATCCCTTTTTATATACTGGGTCAGTATATACAACATATTGTATATACTGAAGAAATCCCCTAACACATATGTCCCTGAAAACACTTAACTCCTCCCACACACACCCCATTCACAACCACCCCTCCTATGAATCAGTCCAGCTGGCTAGTGAGGAGGTGACGGGGGAGAGACCTTTCTACTGAGTGAGGAGGGCAAATCATGCGCTGCCAGGGATGTCAATCTCAACAACAGCTGCAGACTAAACACTCACGCTCACATGCACAGTTACTTGCACAGTGTGTCTACTCACATGCACACACTCACCAACACACTGAGAAACACTCACACCAGCTCTGATTTATAAAGCTGGATTGATTTGTCCTGAAGAGAATGGCTTACTGGACAATTGATTAGGCAGCCCTGGGGACAGGCAGCTCAGTGGAGAGATGATGAAGTCATTGTGATCCAACCTTATGCCACTCACGCACACAGAAATAGACACATGCATTCACAAAGCAAATGTTTCGTAACGATATA